AAAACTTTTATAGTTCCAGAGTCATTAATCAATCTTGAATGCAGACACACATCAAATATAGGAGATGCAAAGCTTAAAAGTTAGTGACAATGTCATTGGACATTTAAGTAGATTGAAATGTAGAGAATTATTTTTCTTTTTCTATTTTATTTATTTAGAAACAAATTGATATTAAGGTTGACCATCATCCTTGTAGATGATCTGAATTCACCAAATTTTAATTCAATTTATAAATATTTAATTTTTTTTTTTAGAACAACATTATCTGTCACCTGGAAATAACATCCTAGAAGAGAAAATGAATGTGAAATCAATTGAAAAAGTGAGAAAAATGTGAATTGAAATACTCAATTTGGGTAGGGAACATCACGGGTCAATAACAAGTCACGAAACTCGCACATGATCAGATCCAAACCTTTGAAAACCGATTGTGGCGAGGTGAGAAGACCGTTCCATTCTTCGATCGAGGGCGGGCGGACTGTCTCAAGTCACCGTGATAAAACAAAGCTCCACGTTTCAAAATCTTAGGCGGCCTCCAAATAAGAAAATCACGGCCCACTCGGCTGGTCTCAAGCCCACACGGCTGAATCCAATGGCGGTGGAACACGTATGAGGAAAGACGGGATGAAATCAAAACACACAGATCCAACTACGCGGTTAGTTGGGGGTCAAGGGAGGAAGCTGCCCCCTTGCGGGGTTCGGGGCAACGCCCTGAAACCTAAATCTGATGCTGGACAGAGCCGGGCGCGCAGGCTCTGCGCATTGCCGACGCTCTGATGGACGCTGATCAGCACGTTGTTGGGCACACGAGTGCTGACAGAGAGACGCACCAGTGACGACAAAGAGAGTTGACGAGAATGTAGTGTGGGGGGAGGGGGGGGAGAGTGGGGAACCCACGCGACGGCGGCGGCTACAAGCAACGGCGGTCACACGGATCCCTTAGGGCACGATCTCTCGTATAAGAAAAGTCTTATGAAGATCAAAGCCATCGTTCAATAGAAACCGTAAGCCTATTTATAAGCTTTGGGAGGAGAGAGAGGATTACAACCTACAGTATATAAAAGAAAATCAAATATGAGTAAGTCCTAATAGTAATAGAAGTTGGGATCCAGAGCTCGGATCTGCTGGTGGCGACGTGAAGTGGCCTTGACAGCTTGCGGGGTCTCCGAAGGAGGTGACGTGGAGTCCAATGATATCATGGTCACCGATGGTGGGGCTAGGGTCCATGCCCCACCACTCATTGTATCAAAAACTTAGTGCGTGAGTCATTTATCTCGTCATTACAAAGGATCATACCATATGCATGTCCTCAATCAGCTACAACCATAAAAGTTACATCTTGATGTTAATATGGATATTTTATCCTGCTTGAAAGCCGAGTTTTGGCAGATTCTCAGATGCATATTTCATAATAACTCAAAGTCTATTGAGTTTGTGATACGAACCAGACTGATTGTCTTACTATAAGAAAGTACATCATAAATATTGCACTGTCCTTGTATGAAAATATCTTTCTTTTATGTGTTTAGATGGATAAGTTATCGAATTGAGAGCAGGAAAGATGTACTGTCTTCGTTTAATAGTCATGCACCTAAAGGAAAACCCATTTTTTCTCGAGCCTTTTAAGTCACATTGAATTATAATGTAATCTACTTACAAATAAAATCTACTTTGGAGTTGTGTATCTTAATTGGAAGATTAAGAACGATACAAATGAGAATGAGAGGGGAGCATTATATAACTTGACTTAAGAATTGTGCTTTATTAGGCGAGATTCAAATTTGATCACATTCAATCGTACCCTCTGAGGCGCAACGTAGACTGACCTTAAATTTTCTTTTTCCCCCTCATTCTCTTCTCTTCTCTTCGTTTTCTGTAATAATAATAAATCTGAGAGCAGGTATCGTCAACACGCTCTGCTCCCACACTTGCCTTTCCGCAGGAAAGATATCCCCCTTCTCACGAACCTTGCATTCATCACTTCTGGAAGACGCAGGGAAGCGCATGGATGGCGTTGTTATCCATTTCAAGTACGCCATGAGGCGGATGAGCCAGCTTTGGGGGATCGGCAGAGGTTCCCTCAGCAGAACTCGGACAGATTTGCTCACGAAGAAGACGTGACCAGCTGGGAGAATTATAGGCTTCCGGGAACCTGGATACCGGGCAGGGTTGTCCTCTAGTTTAGGAAACGTGAAGATTTGTGTGAAGAGGGAAGAAGATGCGGCTCCGTGAAAGTTACCGGCCACAAAGCTATTTACCCACCCATCTTCCCGGGGAGTCTCAGAACTTTGGGGAATAATGAAAGCTCCTTCCTTGCTCCTAACCCACATTAAAACGGTCAGGAGCAGCGGATATCCTTGGCGGGGCCTTCCGCAAGCTAACACAGGAGTTTCAACCCACCGCTTGTAGGTCCTTTGTTAGAGAGCCATCACCCTCCCCTATTTCTCATCGAATCATCCGCTGGGCCGACCACCCGGCTGCTACGGTGATTGAAGCGAGAGAGAGGATCCAACGGCCCCGTTTTACCGCTGCTCAATTGGTCTTCTCAGTTGCCATCCAATCGTAGCGACTTTAGAGAAACCGCAGTCAATAGGGAGCACGGATGATTCCAAAACGATTGACCAACTTGTGTGAATCGATGGACGGCACTCGAGAGAAACCCGGGGGCTGGGTCGGGCATGAAGCATTCCCTCTCCATTTAAGATGCTGGCCAGTTTCAATCCCTTGGTGTCGTTGGCTCCATACGGGAATATAGACTGCGATGGCTGTAACCACCGTGGCCGTGCCATGCGAAGATAACAAGGTTGCGACGCATTTGAATAGACTCAACCATAACTTCTCTTCCCATCAATGAGCGTTAATGAGAGTGGCCCATGCAGGTAGCCTGTCTTTTGTCCAACCAAGCTTCCGTTACGCGTACCCTGCGTGGCTTGATAAAGGAACTTGTCAAAATTAAATAAACAGATTACAACTCCGGGCAGTCCGCCTTTAGTTGGCAGATACCCGTCACTTATCCACTGGGCTAAATGACTACGAGCGAGTGAGAGAGAGAGAGAGAGAGAGGGCGTCCTTGAACGACTTTGTGATTTATAGACATCAAATTGGTTGTAAACTTACTCTGGCGGGCTTTACATGAGCTGCATGACGAATCTTAAAGCTGGCGTAGGGTGTCAAATAGCATTTAATGGCTGGTCTCTTCAACTGCACGGATTAAACGGACCCTTCGCTTCGAGAAATTCAGAGTTTATGGCAGACGGTAACCCGTACACCTTCCCTGAACTGTTTCAGAGATTGGCGTCCCCCACTTCTCGAGGGCCACGGACCATCTACTCGTACTTCTCTCCCGTAGAGCCTTGAATGCTTCCATGGGCAACACGAAACCAACGATTTTGCATGCTTGTGCATGCATTCACTCATGAATGCAATACATACCAGCCGCAGATCCATCAATGCTGGCTCCGAGAGGACCTTGTTGAGCCTTCAAAATCCGAGGGTGGCCCAAAGAGTCAAACGTTGTACGGCCGGGGGTCCAGGTCCTCTCTGACCGACCTGCCGCTGGATAAATCGAGAGTAAATAATTGTCGGCAACGATAAGCAGAGAACGAGCCCAGGAAGGGGTTCCACCGCCGGAGGGGGGGTTAATTGCCTCTCTCGTTGCGTCGTCTTCGGTCTCTATGACTATGGCAGCGAGCCCTACTGTCAATTCATCCACTGCAGAAGCCCGGGGCTTGGGAGGGAATGGGTGAGGGGAGTACATTCCCCTTGCACGCCCTGCGACACATTAAATGAGACGTCTGCGACCGGGTTTTCCCAGTCGGTCGCTGCCCCGGCAAGCGTGCAAATAAGAAAACCTGGCGCCACCTGGCCAGCTACCCGTCCCGTATTTCTCTCAGAAGAATATATAACCTTGCCCCGCCCCCCCCCGTCCCCCCCAAAGGGCCTCTCATCTGTATACGAGAGAAGAGGCTCCACAGGTGAAGCCGAGTTCCCAAGGCTGCTGACCACAACAATAACATAATAAGTGAAGGACCGGCCATCATAGCTGCCAGATCGATTTAGCAATGGCCGCCATTAAGTCACTGACGACGTTCCAGTGGGCTTTCCTCATCGAAGTGGATACGGAGCTCCCTTTTGGTCGGACTCAGGTCATCGTCGGTTCACTAGCCTGGGGAAGGATTCGCAGATCAAATGCGAACGAGAACAATGGCCCAACAGATGGGGGAGACGAGCCATCTTCGAGGGGGCTTCATTCACAGATCCCCCGAGGAATAGGAATAGAGAGTTCAAAGAAGTGGGCGAGGGGGGCTGACGCGGGGGAGTATCGAGCGCCATCATCAGATCCCAGGGGGCGGTTCGAACAGTGCCCGCGCCGTTTCTCTTTCTCCGCGGCGTCTGATTCAGAAAGCGGGAGGGGTGACGTAAACTATGTTGACTGGTGCCCGATCGGGTGAGCTGTGTATGTAGCGCGGTTAGTTACTTGGCGAGGGATGTACGCCGGTGAGTGCACCACCTGCCCCCTGGAAGAGAGAGGACAGGTGCGCGTGTGCAGAGCCCACGTTACCCAGCGTGGCCGAGTGGCGCTTCGGCTGATCCGGACAGAAGAAAGATATGATTTTGCAGCCCTGGTGACACGACGCCGAACAGAGGCCGAGTTGTTTGGAGGTGGTGTTGTCCGTGAGAGGGTCTGTTAAGATTGCGTCCGGAGAGAGGGATCGCTTTCAAGTCAAGAGGAGAGAGAGATGGCCGCCAGTGTTTCTCCCGGAAGGGGGGCAGCCGTGTGGGTTTCTGTATAAACGTTTTTGCTGTTTTCAGCTTGTTAGTTCCCTCTCAGTCACTTCTACTCTCTCGCTCTCTCTTGTTCTCTCTCTCTCTCTCTCTCTCTCTCTCTCTCTCTCTCTCGATTTATCCTCGAGTTCTCTCTCTCGATCGACACCAAAACGAAGAACACACTCTGCTTCTTGTCCTCTCTTTTGTTGTTCTTCGCCCCTGCAAGAGAAGAGATGTCCCTACATCAATTCCAAGAAGTACAAGGCTGGGGCACGGAGGCGAACATCTGCGCGTCCAGGAGCTGCTCTCCTCCCTCCTCTTCTCTCCAGGGGTCGGGGTTCAACCACATGGCCCCCTTCTGCCATAACCCGTATTCTTCACCTGGCAAAGAGAACGACGGCCCTTGGAATCCCCGGGAGAGAGCCTTCTGGACCTCGTGCCGAGAGGATCGCTACAGCCATCTCTCCCCTCCTCAGAAGCATGACAGTGAGGCCGGACCTGGCAGGGCTTTCTCCGGAAGAACCGTTGTTGATTTTAAGCCGAGCGCTGTCGATGCCGACGGCAGACCCAGTGACAAGAGAGGCAGCCACTTGAAGGTCTCTGGCAGGGGTCACTGGAGACCTGCCGAGGACACTAAGCTCAGAGACCTGGTAGCCCTCTACGGTCCGCAGAACTGGAATCTCATAGCAGAGAAGCTAGCGGGGAGATCCGGTATTGTCCACAGCACAAAGTCATCCCCTCCCCCACACCACCCGAGAAAAAAAAATGATAAAAAAATCTTATTTTCCGTAGAATTGCCAATGATTTCTCTTATCTCTGTTGAAATTTTTTGTATGTATGATTCGAAGGGAAGAGCTGCAGGCTGAGGTGGTTCAACCAGCTGGACCCGAGGATCGAGAAAAGGGCTTTCACAAAGGAGGAGGAAGAGAGGTTGATGGCCTCCCACAGAGCGTACGGTAATAAATGGGCCTTGATTGCCCGGCTCTTCCCGGGAAGAACGGATAACGCCGTCAAGAACCACTGGCACGTGATCATGGCTAGGAAGTATAGGGAGCAATCCAGTGCTTACAGGAGGAGGAAGCTCAGCCAACAGCAGCATGCCCACACGAGGCTGAAGGAGCCCTCAAGATCAGCCTGTAAGTCGGTAAACCTTCCTCTCCCATCCGTATCAGCCATGGACAATCAATCTAGAGCTTCTTATGGAGGAAGAGGGGGCTCGCCCTGCGTCTACTCTGGGTCCATTGCAGATAAGGCTACACTTGATTTCCTCTCTGGTGCGCCCTCTTGTCTTCCGTCCATTTCCAGTTCTCTCGCGGCTTCGGGGACGAAGTCCTGTCGATCCCATGCAAAGGCTTCATTTTCTTTCAACCTTTCCTCACCCTTTATTGGGTACCAGGTGCCAAAGTTCACGAAGATCGGACGGGCATCAGATCGCCTATGGAGGACGCTTCCCAGGTTTTCCACTGCCGACAACTTCCATTGGTGGCGCCTACACCGCAGTCCAGCCTCCCTGCCTGCTTTTCACATTCTACGGCCTCGGCAGCATCCCAGGACTCAGCCACAACCGACTTATCATCTGCTACGGAAAGCCACCATCCCTCCCCACCCTTCATAGACTTCCTCGGCGTAGGAGCTTGTAGTACATGTGAGGAAGAAGCCTCACCAGGCCTCCGATAACATCCTCCAAAACCCGCCGAAAGATGTAGGCGACGAGGATGAGGACGATGATCGGCTCACAGGATATTCGTACTTGTCTTGCGTGGATCAAATATACATTAATCATCTGCTTCGAACTAGATAGGTCGAATGTCACCTCTCGCAGTTTCCAGCCAATTGACCCACCATGCTTGTCCTTTTCTCGGATTGTAAGAGACATGAAAAAAATGCGGTTCTATCGTACAAGGAAGGAACATAGTGGAGCTCGCCCAGAACGGCGCATGGGGTATCTCGCCTGGTTGTTCACTCCGGTATGGATGTATCTCAATCTTGGTGGTCATTGAAGTGGCAGCATCAGTAGTAGCGGTCGGCCGTAGTGGTATTTGTTATGATGGTCGTTGTAGTTGTCTTCATCATCATAATAGGAGATCGTATGACATCAATTCAAAAGCAGTGGCTCGCGTCGGGCTGCGCTTCATAGGGAAACACCATATGAGACTTTCGAGGATGAACGCCCTCCACCTTCCATTTGCTAAGATCTCTTAACTTGATCCATGCAATGAGGGTGAAACAGAACGGAGAGACAGTGAGGCGGAAAAGAAGGAACAATTGAAGAAAGATGTCATGTCAGGAAAGAAAAGTGATAAACAGAAGGGGAGAACGAGAGCGAGAAAGAGAGTGTTTAATCCCCTACCAGCACCGCTCGCTGACTGGTGGATTCCTTCATTGTCTCGATAACCAGGGAATTATGGGAGAGGGAGATGAGGAGGCCATGGGAGTTCGTTGAGATGGGGTGGCAACATCAACAACCAGTCTACGCCACGGAAAAGCTCCTCCAACAGCATTCATTACCGAGAACGGAGGCATCCATAGCCGTTGAAGGATCTTATGCGTGCCGTGTTGCGTCTAACTTCTCTTCTTCTTGAGAGCAGACCTCCCACTCTGTAGACCCAGCCTTCTTGCAATGTTGAGAACCCTGGTTGACACGCGTGATCTCGCTGGAGAACGAGTCCAGTAGGCCTTTATTGTCGCACAGGCTCTCTCTACGTTGTCAACAATGAGAACAGAGCCCAGTGGACTTTTATGTCCACTTAGCATGAGAGGACTTATATCTACGGTCACCACCTTAAAGACCAGAATGGCGCCTGAGTTCAACGGAGAGCAGCTGCCATATGCGATGTTCTGATCGATTTCCGTATAAATTAAGCTGCACCTGTTAGCCTCGGCACACCACTCCCGGTATTAAACCGTGTTAAGAACAAGGCTGTGATCATAAAGACGCGTATACGCTACCCAGTGTTGATGAGATATGAGTTTTATAGCCTTAAAAGATAAGGGTATCATATCAGAGCTGATGGTCGCCCTGAATCTGTATGCATCTTCTTCATGCTAGTTATCTATTCAACGAAATTCAAAAGTTTTCTCATTTCAAAGAAGGAATCAAGTATATAACCATATTAATTACTAAAAAAATAAATGTGCTTGGTTGATGCAATTGTTGTTGTAAGAATTTTTATGGATGATGGGATGTGCTATTTCTCTACACCTCACTTTTGATATTTCATAGAGAAAAATATTAATGTTGCAAATGATATTTTGTTAAACAATAATGATAAATGGTAAGGAAAATAAAAAAAATTACTGAAACTTTTATCAGCTACATTGTTAAATATATGAAAAAATTTAGCCCATTTAAAAATTAATTACAAATTATTTCTCTCCTAGTGCCTAAAATTTTTGGAACCTAAGGGATTTTCCACCCCATCCAAAGCCATTTGTCTAGAGGCTAAGAAATATAAAGATCTCAACATTACCTAGTATGTTCAACTATCATACACTAGCTCTCCATTTAAGCTTTTCTTTATCCTATTGATGCTTTAAATATCGTTGCAATCCATTGGATTACTCTTGTATAAGAATGAATTTAAAATATAATACTTAGGAATTTGAGCGTTCCAAAGTGCTTACAAGTTAGAAAAAAGTTGTGTTGTCTTTTCTTGTATTCATGCACTTTGGATTTTTAATGTTGATGCAACATTCAGTTTTCTAATTTATTATTGAAAATCATGGAGATTTCAAGATTACGCACTGATGATGTAACCCTTGGATTGTGGAGGAATTGAATGATCTCATGTGTTCTCGGATTTAAAGGTAATTAATTTATACTTGTAACCAAATAGAATATAAAAATAAACTCCATGATTGTAACAATTTAGCTGTAAGGATGCAAATAATGTAAAAGCTTAAAATATTATATCATTTTTTCTTATAAGATTTTAACTTGAAGGAGCTTTGAGTGATATGTACTTGGTATAAAAATAATATGACCATATTATGTATATATTTCATAACTGATGCATTATTTTCCATACATCGAAAAAATTATTCCTCAAAATATATTTTGATAATTTTAACCTTTTATTTTGATCTCTTCATAGTTTATCAAACTTTTATGGACATAATTGAATTTCTTTGAAAAAAATAAAACCTGAATCCTAAGCTAGTATAAGTTGGATTAAATTCCGTGGGCATGTCTTTCTAGCATTACAAAGTCAACGTGCCATAATGGCCCGCCTCTCAACGTGATCTCAAGGTCAGTCTAAGACGCTTGATCTGCCCAGTCCAGCCGTCCGTTTAGGTTGTGGTAGCATATGACCTGGAATCTTGTTGCCCTTTTTTACCGCCACGTCGTTGGCTCGCCATCACCTGTCGCTCTCTCTCTCTCTCGCACGCACTCGTAGAGTACTTATGAAGGGCTTGAAAATATATCCGAACTCGTGCTGTTCCTTTGATGTTTGACCCGTAAACATCTGCACGGGAACTTCCCCCAATTAAATCGTGAAACAGATTCAAGAAATGTATGGCAGACGCTCGATGTCGTCTCTGTGGTAGAATAACGCTATTTATTACCGATTACCGACCAGTTAGATGACTAGAAGCGTACACAACTCTTTCGCTCTCGTTCAAGGTCAACAATTGATATGTATTTTTACATTCGCAAACACATGGGCGTTTGACCCGAAACGAAGTCTTTCAAAAGAGATCCATTTAGGAGGCTTCAAGATGACGAAAGGAGGCGAGACTCGAACCGAAGCGATGACTAGGGCCCCCCACCCGCAAATGAGATGTTCCTAGGTACGAACACCATGCCCAATCCCCTCAATTTTGTCGGTAAAGCATGGATCTGCTCGTACGAACTCCCCTCTGTCCTACGTTTGCTGGCACCCAACTGCATGGCTTGTGTAATCGCCCGACTGCGTCGTCTGCGGTGTCACCTGCCACGCCTAACGTGACCTGCTAGCTCGCGACCACGCGTGCCGCCTAGATCATGCTTTTTCTTTGGCGGCCGGTCATCAGCCGTGGAAAGAAGATGAGAGAGGAAGAAGGAACATGACCCCGGCGCGTTTTCGCCGCGCCGGCACCCCTGATCCGCCCCTGGGGCCCAACGTTGCACGAAAGTCATCGCCTCGGACGGCTAGAAGAGTACTCAGCTTCTGAAGCGACTGACATGACTGCCTTCACTTTCCCCCCAATAACTGGGTCAACCCCCCACCTAAGCTTTGTACTTCGTCCATCCAGACCCTCTCTCTCTCTCTCTCTCTCTCTCTCTCTACCTCCTCTTATAATTTATCCACATGGGTTTGATCACGTCGCAATCTCACTTAAACAGTGCTGAGGCTCCAAATATGAGCCGCCCTTAACCCTCGTCCGTTAAGACGAAACCCCCAAATCTAGTCTTCTTCCAACACGTGCGATGTGGGACCGATCTGTTGGACGGCCCGGCAATCCGCGAACAGTGTTAGTGGGTCGGGCTCAGGAGCTCTCCCCTCCAACCTGGCTATGTCCATTCGAGAAGCTCCAGCTCCATCCAGTTGGGCAATACGGATATGACAAGCGGAAGATGGTTGGGAGGGCAGCCTTCCTCTGCTAGTTGCCAACCCCAGCCTCCCTCACCAAAAGCATGAGGCGCCTTCCAAAAGGGTGGAGAGATAGATAGCGAGAGAGAGAGAGAGAGAGAGAGAGAGAGAGCTGAAAGTTATCCGCAACTGTAATCGCATACGTGGCTTGCTTAGATTCGCAGAGTTCCTTCTCTCTCCACACTGGTTGACCCGCTTTCCACTCGCCGGACACGTAGCGTGTGGACATGGACAATGCAATGTTTCTCTGGAACGAGGACGTGGACATGGCTCGGTGAAGACGGTCTTCAAGTCGGCCCGTGAACTTGGAAGTCCAAACCGGTGCAGATGGGGTTTGAAGGACTTTGACCGAGTTGAATCGCCGGGCCATACCGACGTGAGATGTGCCCGACTCAGCGCCCCGTGGTCGTGTTCCATTCCTCTTCTGGTCGATGGGTGTTGCGGTAAAACTCGTTTCAAAATGGCGTGTGTGGCGGAAGAGGAAAAGATGAGGACACGGGAGGCGACTGAGGGCCACGATAGGAGGATGCCGGGGAGTATGAAAGCACTGGGTTTCCTTGGAGACCACGTCTCTGTCCACCGGAGATCGTCCTCCGCACACCTCCCCGAGTATTTATTTACAGGTGGCGGGGGGAGGGGTTGTCCCCTTCCTCGTTCACCTCTAAGCCACTCTCTTCCCAACGTCGATCTTCCCCTTTATTCCTCCCCCGTCAAGAAGCTCACAACTGCCCGCCGCCTTTATCTCCAAGATCTTTCCACCAACTTCGGAGTCCTCCGGTACCATCCCCAAGCCTTGCAACTTTTCCTCCAGCATCCTCTTAACCTTTGCGATGTTCGTCATTTTTATAATCGTCGTCGTCCTATCCGGCTTCGCTGTTCCCAGAATACATCTTTTGTTCATCTGATCCAATGACTGGCCAGTTATCTTCTTCTACCGCCGGCCATGGTGCCATGGTTGCAACAGCCTCTCATCTACGAGAGCGTATTCTTCTTCTTCTTTCAAGCTTTTGAACCCGCCACCCTCTTGTTTGTTTCAGGCGAGCCATGGAGCACGAAGGGTACTTCCTTGCGACTGGAGGCGACGACCACCTGGAACTCCCTCCAGGCTTCCGCTTCCATCCCACGGATGAAGAACTCATCACACACTACCTCGTCGAGAAGGTCGCCGACAGGGAGTTTTCCGCAAGGGCTATCGGGGAGGTCGACTTCAACAAGTGCGAGCCATGGGAACTCCCATGTAAGTTGTCCTCCCCGCAACCCCGTCATCAGTTTCACGGCAACATCCACGGAGAGCTGATTGCAGCATGTCGCCGGGGGGGTGCAGGGAGGGCGAAGATGGGGGAGAAGGAGTGGTTCTTCTTCGGCGTGAAGGACCGCAAGTACCCGACGGGGCTGCGGACGAACAGAGCAACCGACGCCGGCTACTGGAAGGCGACCGGCAAGGACAAGGAGATCCGCGGAGGAAGGAGCCTCGTGGGCATGAAGAAAACACTCGTCTTCTACAGGGGCAGGGCTCCCAAGGGCGAGAAGACCAACTGGATCATGCACGAATACCGCCTCGACGGCAAGTCCTCCTACAGCCTCCCCAACAAGTCCTCCGAGGTAATTCTCCTCTTCCTTGATTCAGATAGCTGTGCAGATCATTCTTGGTGACTGATCATTCTTGGTTGGTGATAACCTCAATTCGTGTTGATGCTGTGCAGATTGAGTGGGTGCTGTGTAAGGTATTCCAGAAGAACTCCTCGACAGGTGGATACGGCGACGGAGCAGAGAAGAGGGCGACCGGTCAGGTGCAGATAGGATCTTCCTCTTGTTATGCGGGTGACCCCACATCGATGCCGTCGCTTGTGGGCTCTCAGTCCGGCAGGAGCACCTCCAGAAAGATGTGCAGCGTCTTCAGCTCCAACCAGAAAGGCCATGAGGAGAAACTGGTCGAAGAGTTTGCGGGTTCCGCTCTCGTGTCCAGCTCCGCCGCCACCACAAACTCTTACTCCGACATCTCAAGGATCCCTCCGCTGGACGGCGGTCTTAGCAGATTTCTGAAGTCGGGGGAAGGCTGGGTGCAACTGCTGCAGAGGGAAGGGTGCGAGGTGGAAAGGGAGGGCGGCGGCAGCCAGTCGCAGGAGACGGGGCTAACGAGCGAGATGAATCCGGAGATCTCGTCTGTCCTCTCCAGCTATGAAGTCCGCAGACTCTGCTTTGAAGGCCACGCCGTTCCCCCGGCTCTCTCTGGCGGTCTGCCCCTCGATGACTACATGTGGAACTAGTCGAGCAAGGATTCCAGAAGAGACAGAACGTTCGCCATGAAAGCGAAGAATGTTGCAGAATGACGAGGGGGATGGGCGGGGGAGGGGGGAACATTCGGCCAATGTTGATCGTTCATGGAGGCTGTTTGGCCTGTGTATATGCATTTCTTACAGATACAATAAATATCATGGGGGTAAAACAATGGAGAAGGTTACTGATCGGAGTTTGATCATTCGATCATCCACATATCTTGATCATTCAGGGAGTCTCACCGGTTCTTTTTTGTTCGTGGAGTTGGCGGGTATCCACTTCTTTTCTTCCTTTTTTTTCACCCAGCGATGCCGCTTCTGTCTCATCTCGGAAGATCGGCGTCCATGCCTGCTGCAGCTTTTGATAATAACAGGCACATAAACATCGCCACCATGAGAACAGGAAGCATAACATCATGATCATAATGGCCGAGATCAAGATGGAGAGAACTTATGGCCTGTGATCTCGTCGGCCCCCACACTCCCCCAAACTTGGAAACAAACAGACACGGGGAGGGTCCGGGGATGGAGACTAAGAGCGACGTGACATCTCGGACCGCCTTCCGGAAGCAGATTTGCCGATCGAAGAACAGCGCCGGAAAGGCACGTCCGATCCGATGCCCGATTGTATCCTCCGACACATTTACCAAAGAAGACACCGCGAGCAGCGAGCGGGCCGGGCCGCTAGGGTTTTATCTCGTGATAATTCCTCGGCACACCTCTTGTTCCTTTCAGGAGATGATCGTGGGACAATGTCAGCAGCCCATTAGAAGTCAGTCGGCGTGTTGATACTTTGGCGCAATTACTTCCGATTTTCGTCTTCAGCAAGCCCTCCCCCCACCCTCTTCCTCCCCCTCTCTCCTTATCTCTCTCTCCCTCTCTCTGTCGTTCTCTCTCCCTCTCCCCCTCGTTCTCTCTCTCTCTCGTTCTCACTCTTTCTCTCTTTTTCTCTCTCTTCCCCCTCTCTCTCGTTCTCACTCTTTCACTCTTGCTCTCTCTCTCTCTCCTCTCTCTCGTTCTCACTCTTTAACTCTTGCTCTCTCTCTCTCCCCTCTCTCTCGTTCTCTCTCTCTTCCTCTGTAGAACTGCGTGAGACTTGCACGGAATGTCCATCCCTTACTTCCACGGACGTCCATCTCACCAGATCATTCCACGACTTCCTCACGTACTGGCCTCGGAAGAATCTCCGGCGGATATCCAACCTGTAAACGCACGCGGTCCGGTCGAGCGACGGAGGATGACGGCACGAGCCGATCAGCTCCGGTCCCAGCATCCGACAACCTTCGACTCATCATAAACTCAGCATTTAACTTGTTATTTAAATCACGTTTTCGTTTGACAACTGGCCCAGTGGTCGGAGGATCACGCCCGTTGACTTTTTGTTCCAAATCTTGTTTTATCTTAAAACCGGGTCCGATCTCACCAATCGTCAGCACACAGGGAGCGCTGACTTATCGGCTTTGCGTATGGACGATTGGGATCCGACTTCCTCTATTCGCTAAAGGTAGAAGTCCTACGCATCAAACAACGCGTCGGAGAGAAGGAGAGAGAGTCAACGGACGTTCTTCAACTTACACGGAGCGTGATGAAGCTACAACCAAGTGAGCGGCAGCTAAAACCACCCTTCGAATATGAGTGGAGAGGGCCATCTCTCTGATCGGGGGAGTCTACTGGTTACAGGGACATGTGCCTTCTCCCCACATTTTTTCTTCTCCACATGGCGCCGCAGAAGAGAAGACCTGCTCAGGTCAGCGTTAGGGGTTACGGCGGGGGGAAGAAGGGAGCCGGCGAGTCAATGGAGCTTTCGTCGTGGAGAGAGAGAGAGAGAGAGGATTTGAAAGGACTTGAGGGGCCCTGCGAGAGGATGAACGCAGATGGTCGCCTCGTGAAGGAAGGGGCTCTGGGGATGGAGGAGTCTGTAGTGGGCCACATTGAATATGGGCTGGGCTCTTTGGGCCCAATCAACGTATCTACTTATTCCGAAAAGAGTACATGTACAAACAATTATAGCATTTATCGTATTAAACATGTTTTGCGAATTTTTGTTGGGCTTGTCGGATGAAAGGCGGAGAGATACGAACGGCGGCTTGGTCTCTCTCTCTCTTCCCCTCCCTGTGCCTCCCTCTCTGCGACACTCTTTTCTTCCCTCTTTTCAGGTCCTGGGTCTTTCCTAGGGTTCTTCACGCCGCACATTATTTGCTGTCCGAAGCACCAGTTTGGCGTTATCGCCTCGAAGCTCATCTAGGTAAACATCTGATGAGCTACATATTTCGTTCTTTGGAGTTTTCTCGGAAGATCTCTCAGGAACTTCGGACGTAAAACCCAAGGCGAGGATAAATTTTTTGCCCAGGCGTTTTAGCAAGATTGTTCCGTTGGCTTGTGTGGTGGCTGATAGTGAGATGCCCGGAAATGCTCCTTATCCAGTCCATCCATTGTTACTCTTCCGACGAACTCTGTTCCGTCTTCCTAGCTTTCCGTCCAGTCGGTAAATTCTGCACACACGATTCGAGGAGGTATTTTAATGGCTTGGGCTACGGGGAAATAGTTTCTTCCACTCGCAACTTACGCACTTAGAAGCATCATCTGGGAAATAGGTTTGCCCTTGACAGCCGAATAGTTGAACACAAGCTCCGTTCTGTACTATGACTGTCGCTTCGTATCCCTAAATATGGCGGTGCGATGCACCAACGTTTCAGAAAATAAGGAAAATGAAAACAGTTAAAGTTTAGTGACTTGTGAATTTCTTATCCGTCACATGCCGGCTCGTGGGTATTATTGGGCTCCGTCGTGTAGACCATGGAGACCTTCTTAGAAGAACAGATTAGAGGGCGAGATACATGTGCTTTGACTGTGTATCGTGTTGGCGTCGCCCAAAAACTTTCATTGGCAAAAATTAACACTTTATGCATATTTAGAAATGGGTAATAAAAAATGTTTTGTTGAGGATTTAGTGGTAGAATTCGTGGAAATGGGTAACTTTGTTCAAGTGGATAATGGATTCTTAAAAATTCCATGATTTTTGGTAAATATGCTTCAAATTTTTGTGGTCTTAGAAAATGTATCATGCAATTGCAGAGTTTTAACTCCATCATACTATAATTGTCTCATCATCTCTGCTTATGCAGAAAATTTTCTTTAGCTGTTGACATTTTAGCATATAAAAAGTTTCGTATGTTATCATCAGATGTGATTTTTCCTTTGCCTTCAAACTAAAACATATATTATAAATGCTGAGAAAGGTTTATCAGTACCCACACCTTCATTATGCTGGTTTTCCACTTTAGATTATCTGGCTGATGTAAACGTCTGATTCTGTAGGTTCATGGATTTTATAGTCTTCTTAACTTTGAGTTCTTTGAACACTCTTGTCTAAACCAAAGGGATGGAAATGCTGTTCTGTGATGATTGCTCGTATTTTCTCTGAAAAACCGAAAGCTTCTCATAATTCGTGGTTATGCTTTTTTGTGCAGGTACCATCTTAATACCTAGGGAATTATGTATCCTTTGAAGGGAAGCAATGCATATGGCCAGCAATCATATTCTTCACAACAAGGATATTCTCATCCGGTATTATGCTGTTTGTGCAAAACTTCTGCGTTGCAGTTGTTAATTGTTTGGAGCTCTTGGCCAATCAGACGTTTTCACATTTTTTTCTACAGAGCGGAGGTGGTTATTCAGGCAGTCAGATTGGCGCCTCTGATGGTGGTTCACAGCATACTCTGGTATCTCGGCAAAGTGGCATGTTGAGCTCTTCCCAAGAAGCTGATGTTGGCGGATACAGAGTTCAATCCTCGCAAGCACCACATTATGGTGGAGCATATGCCTCTGTTTATGGATCATCTACTTTAAGCAGTGCTCAACAGGTCTGTCTTCGAACCTGATTTTCTTTTTTATCCAATGTTGCACAGTACATCATCTCTAATTATTCCATCTTGGTTTTTTAACTGTGCCATTGTCTCTTATTGGTTTTTTTCTGCGATTTACTTAATAAATCTTCTACTGACTGATGAAAAGTGCCGTACTTCTTTTCTGGTGCAAGAAACAGCTTTTTCTCAAAAATATTATAGTTGGATAATACTATGTCATACAAAATTTACTGAAGATATGTAACACATTTGAAAAAATAACATATTGATCTTGGTGTGATAAATCAACAATAAATGCCATGCCATTCGCTGACTTATTATCGTTAACTTATTGTCTTTTTTCACTCCATGCACTTGTTGGGCTACATAAATCAAGATAGAAGTTATTGGTGATCAAGTTAGCAAGTAATCCCATATTCTTCCATTATGCATTTTACAAGACCGCAATGATGTATGATGACGATGATCTGTTACATGGTGTATAAATATGATACTTCATCTTGTCGCAATGATCTGGAGCTGTAATGGTCTGAATACGGTCTTTCCCAGTTTTAAGTATCTCTACTCATCCTCGTTGTCTATGAAGCCAGTTTTTTCTCTTCTTTGGTCATTAAGTTTTCCATCTATGTGTTTGCTGTTTCTTTTTATCCATTATGTTGGATCTTTGTCTCTATTCTTCATCAGGTAAGTTTCTTGTAGTTTAGAATTCCAAAATCAAGGTAAACACTCCCAGAGCTTTGGATTATTTTTCAAACTTAACCATGGTTTCCTATGGTGCATGAACTGACAACTTAAAATTCTTCCTTTGTTCTAACTAGAAGCCACAGTTAAGTACATCAGTCACGCCCCGTCTTTTTCTTTAAGTCTAAAAATACCTGGGAAATAATTCCTGGGATTGTAGTGCTGTGAGGTCCGTATGAATTTGCTGCTACTTTTTCCTCACATAGATCAATCACCAAATGCTTGCCCTGTTTTCATGGAGGATATTTAGAACCTGACACTGGCGTCATCAGCTGGGGTCATTTGTTGAGGATCGTATGACCCTTCTTTTGTTAACGCTGACTGAAATCTGCATGGCTTCTTCATTCCCGGCTTTTGGAAACTATTTCTCTTTTTAGCATATGCTATCAATGGGAAATTAGGCGCCATCTGAGACCTACAGAGCTACCTTGAATCCAAAGACTTTCCCGCTATTCACTATTCTTTATAATATTCTTCTTCCTCCTCTAAAATCTAAAACCCTAAAGCCCTAGTTATCACTATGCTCTCAATGTTGAGAGGAAGAAAGTTCTCCAAAAGCCTGAAACTTGATGATTTCTTTCCATTTTCCCTTTGTTAAATCCGGTTCATCCTATCACACAAATGCATCTGGACATACGCACTACCCCTAAATTGGGGTCCCATCTGGTGGGTTTAAAGTTATGTCTAACGAATTCCTTTAGTGTTCCTATGTCTCTACTCTTCTGTTCAATAACTAGAGTCTATTGGTTTCAATTGTCGTATTCTTAGACTAAGTGATCATTAGCAGTTCATTACTTATTTCTGCCTCGACTTGGTCTACATCTCAGATTTTATAATGACAGCGCAACAATAAATTAATCCGCGTAATGAATTTGGCCTATTTCTTCTGTCATAGTTGTTCAGTCTCCATCGAGGTTAAGATTAAATGGAGGCTTGTAGGTGCTAGGTTTTCCATTTATAACCCCAAATTATGTGATGCAATATGTGCCTAGTTGGATTTATGTGATTGATCGCTCCCACTTGGGTTTATCCAGCCCTATTTACATTGCCAGAGACCCTATTGTCCCTCCCTTGACTCTTCCCCTTCCATGTCTCTCCTGATAGCTTCATTTGGCCATCTGCATCTCTTCCCCTCTGATCTGTCCTGTTTTGTCATGGTAGTTGCATCTTTTGTTGTCTGTTCTCTCTTCACTCCCTACTTTCTTGGAAGGTAGATAGTTGTTATACTGGTTAGTCGCCTTCTCTATGTCCATAATTTTTCACTAAATCAAAATTTTCCCCTCCAATGGAAGAGGGTGTATGAGTGAAATTAGGAGGGTGGGAGAAGGAGATAGAGGCGAATTAATTGATGAATGTAGAAAGAAACAATGAAAGAGACAAGTGCCGGGGAGAGTACTATGACACGAGGGAGGGGCTAGTGACAGAGATAGGTACGTTTGATTGAGACAGAAATACAACTGAGATCCTGGCCATAGTAGGGTTAAAGTTTGGGGAACATGGGGGTGTTAGTTAATGGGGCCCTAGTGGATCGGTGTGTAGTTGTCTGCTGTTGCAATGTTCCCACCAGGTGTTCCTTGGCTTACTTTCCACTGCCGAATGAAGTCTTGGGCCGTGCAATAGGTATCTTAGTGGCTATGTAGCGTCTTAATGCGTCTTATTATTTAGAAACCACAAATGTTCTACCGAAAAACATGATGTTTAAGAATGGACAATTTAATTGCTTATTTCTTGGTTATTTTATACACCTAGATGAGTTAATAGATGCGTCTTATTTATTTGTCTTATTAGGTTTATATGTATGAATTCTTTTGAAAACTCAGCCGTGACCTTTTATTCATTTTTTAAGTGAGTAAGCACCACAATATTACTCAGCACGTTGTTTACTATGTAACAACACATTTGAGTGCCAGTTTAGTGATGTCGTTTCTATTTTATCTAATTTGGATTAGTGATGCTGTCAGAGCATGGCCTCGTATTTCTCTTTTGCCTTTCTTGTACAGATGCCTGGGATTTCTGGCAAGGGAAATGGTTCCTCCAGCCTGCAAGGCCGGACAACTTATGCCTCTGCATATTCAGATCCTTCTAAATTTGGATCAGGGGCCCCAAGTGGCAGTTTGGGAATGAGTACAGAGGATTACATGGCATCCGGCTATGGACACAAAGCTGACCAATATTCAATGGAGAGGAGGCACTATGGTGATCATCAGGGTGCTTACATGGGAAGGGATGATCCTAGTGTTATTAGCCTCCAGTCTCAGGTTTTTTCTTAATGGGTTTTTTTTTTCAGTAATGCTTGTTATCTCTTGCTTCAAAGATTGACTGCTATTGTTGTTTTTATTCATCTCAGAAATCTGAAACACGTGATCAGTATGACCAGGTATTTTTTTGTTCATGCCTATGCTTTTCTTAGAAGATGCTTTCTTTCAGATTCCAGAAACTGACGTCCCCCTTTCTTTAAATATTTATAAAAGGCATCATTATTTCGTCAGCAGCAGATGATGAAAGCTCAGTCACTGCAGCCAGGTCCTGATACAAGGTACACATGCTTTCGTGTAGATACTATGTAGATTGATTTTTTTTATTCTAACTCTTTGACTTTCCTTAGTTTGTCTCTGAGAAAACTTGCGTGAAATAATAATATTAATAATAATAATACTAATAATAATTTAATAATAATCATAATAACAATGGGAAGTAGGTATTCTCTCTTTTGGATGGTTTAAGTGCCTTTTTGTTTTGATAACTGTCTTAGCAGGATAGTAGCTCTTCCCTTTTCACTGTTCACATGAGGTCTCACTGTAATTATTTGGTGATACCTGCTCCATACTTCGTAGAAGCTATTGCATCTCTCATGACACTAAGTAGAATATGCATTTCTGGCAGACAAGCTGATTTTCTGGCTGCAAGGGCTGCCACTATCCATCATGGACATCAAGATATTAGCTCATATGGTGGAAGAATGGATGCTGAGCCTCACAATATGTCCATTCTTGGTAGTGCACCATATGCTGGACAACATCCCACTTCCAATTTAGGTGGACCTTCACGGGGGAATGTCGATCATGTTTATCCACATGGGTCGTCTGGTGCTGGTTACAGAGTAGGATTGCCTCCTGGCCGGGATTATGCTGCAGGAAAAGGGCTTCATGGCGCATCGCATGAGTCAAATTATCAAGGGAGTATGTTGTCACAAGGTGGGTATTCAAGCGTTGGAGCGCCTTTCCTGGATGAGCGGAAAGATGATAGAAGTGTATACCAACGGGAACTTGAGCTAAGAGAGGAGCGTCGGAGGGAACTGTTGCGTGAGAGAGAGAAGGAACGAGAAAGGGTGCTGGAGCGTGAACGGGAAAGAGAACGTGAAAAAGATAGAGAACGATTACGAGAACGTGAACGTGAACGGCTCAAAGAACGGGAACGAGAACGAGAGCGAGAACGTCAACGACAACGTGAACGGGAAAGAGAACGAGAACGCCTCCTGAAACAGCGGGACAAGGAAAGGGAACGAGAACGCAAACGTGGACCTGAACATAGGCAGGAACGATCTCCACCGAGAACAAGTAAAGATCGCCAAGTCTCTTCTGCTACAAGGGATGAACGACCCTTTCGAGGCTCTCCACGTCGTGACATTTCACATAGGTGGAGCTTGAAATTTTCTTTGTGCAATGCTGAAGTTACTTATCCATTGCTGCTTCCATCATGGGTGCAGCATTACTAACTAACACACTCTCTCTTATGCTGAAGGCGTCATTCACCTGTTAAAGAAAAAAGAAGAGAATATATCTGCAAGGTAAAATTTATGTGGGCATTTGAATGCTCATTGATGCTGTGAGGGTTGGGAGTGAAGGCTGAATTTTCTATTTCTTTTTCGTTACCCCTATAATTGTGCAACATCTTTGGGTCATCTGCCTCACCTGCAAATGTTATATTAGGGTGTAAATGATGGAACCTCGCCTCAAAACAAAAATAAAGAGAAAAAATATGACAACTGTCGAATGAACTACTGTCTTGTTACTGGCTGCTTCGTATCTATATAGAGCTATGCATGTATTCATGATTTTTAATGATGGAGATGAAGATAAGTGTTAAATCTATTTAGATATTTTAATGATACAAAAATGAATGATAGACATTCATTTCAATTCTATACACTTTCTATCTTTTTTGTGACATTTACTCTTTCTATATTTCTTTAAGTTTGGTTATGCTTCTTTTGCTAGTGTGAAAATTATTTTATATATTCATTGTAATAAATGGGCCTCATTTGTAGGTTTCTCCATTTTGTTTTGTGGACGCTGTGAGGGATTATATGTCTTTAACTAAGAGATATCCCAGATTATCAATTTCTCCAGAATTCTCTAAGGTATATCATAGGCGTATCTGCAGACTTTGCTTGTGGTTTTGTCATCAATTTAAAAATGTTGCAATTTCTTTTAGGTCGTCTTTAACTGGGCAAAGGAAAAGCTTAACATTTCACTATATACTCCTGTGAGGTAATGTGGACTTCAAAGAATCTGTGATTCATTCAGCCTACCTGCACATTGATGATGGTGGCATTTGCATTTTTTTGATCTTGTTGTGAATTATATATTTAATTTTGAATCGAGCAGTTTTCAGCACGAATTTGAAGTAGATGCTGAGCAAAAAGATTTAGAGCACAATGTGGTGGAGACACAGAAGTCTAAGAGTGATTCCACTGTCTGGAATGCTAAGGTGACCGTGAAGAACAATTCTTCGAATTTTTTTTTTACGTGTTACACGCAAAGAAGTGTCTGTGGATTGTTTGTCTATGGACTTCGTTATGCTTCGTACATGTTACTTGGGCACAACTTTGCCAGTGTTTGAGATAATGCTAAACCTGGTTTGAATGGATCTGATGTGCATTACTCATGTCTAATAAAGTCTTTCTCGTTTCCTATTCATTCTAAATTAATATGCTTCATGCATAATGCACTTTATATAGATCGAGATAACATTTCTGGATAGTATTTTTTTTGATACGGATAATTATCGAAATTGTGATAAAGTGTATTTACGGTTTCCAAGGAGATTTATGCCATTGGGATATTTCTTTTAGTCACTTGCCCAAGAGATGTTAGTTGACTTAATCTGATTGCTGCGATGGGTGCCATCTTTTTGACGTTCATTTTGATGGTTTACACATCTGACACATGGTCAGCGGAAGGAGAGTAATATGGAATTTTTGATCCAATTGGTGTTAATCCTTGAAATTAACTTTTCATTAGTAAGGATCTCTTTTCAGTCAGATGGAATTGTTTCTTGTTTTCTGAGTGGTAGTCAGTAGGCCACGAATCATTAGAATGGAAAATTTGCGGAGTATAATCACTGAAACTGGAAAGATAATAATTTCGTTGTATTGAGCACTTAGGGTTGTTGAGCTAGTAAGTGAATCAAATGACGTTCAAGGTTGTACATCAATTCTTGGCAATGATCTCCAATTCTTTGTCATGATCCCTTATTATCCTTGAGTCGCCAATCTTTATGTACACCTTTAGAGACCAGTTCTGACATATCATTGACAAATTGGATTTTTCGTTAGTTGTCAGCTAGGCAGAGCTTGTGATCACTCACATGATGCCTGTTTTGTCGTTCACAGAACTCACTATTGAATTTGAGAAGTTTTTGTCTAATGATGATTACAGTTTTTCTCTATTGAATGTGTGCATCCGCCAATTTGTGTTTGGTGTGGTAACACAGACTTCTTCTAGAGCGCGAATCCTGTTGACTATTTATACGGTATCATCTTTGACCAATATGGCTTAAAACTTGCCATGGGTAGGACCATCATAGATTTCACCCGCATATAATGTCAAAGTCTCAGTACTATCTCGTTTCACTCTATAACCGTGCTTCTCAAATATGTTTGGATGTGTAAAGCTGGAAACATTACGCAGCACAATTCTCGATTAATGTCTTTAACAGTTTTGTCACAATTATAATTCTTCTTCATGCTTCACAACAATTGAAGCAAGCAGGCCTCACTCCAGCCTCCTAAACATCAGGGAATTCAATCAAGTAACGTCTCCATCTTTTCTGATAGCTGCCAGAATAGATACAATTTTCTTTCCATGAAGTATTTTTTTCCCATCTCTATTGTTCCCAAACATGTAATACGTCTATGTTTGCGAATAATTCAATGCCAGTAAGAATCTCCTAACCGCAATCTGGTTGCGTGAATCGATCTTGCTGCTAGTTCAAAGTTAGTAATGCCTTGCGAATCATTTTCTGCGGAAATATCCTCAGGGATGGGCATGCTGACTTCATGGCAGTGAGACCCCTTATCAAAGTCTTTACCAGAGGTTTCATAGATGACAAGATAATCATATTATCTACAGATTACATATTTGAATATCCATCAATTCGTTTAGCTTCATTTTCAAGCCATAGTCAGAAATACCAATGGAGTCTATCTTGGTGGGTTCGAATTCCATTTCCAATGCAAGTTGTCATAATCCAATGGGACAGATGGGGAAAAATCTTACAGCCCTCTCTTTCTGGTCTGTCTTGGAAATAACTGAAATATGACGGACATTGGAAAAGGGGTAAACTAAGTGATTGAAGGACCACTGTTGGTCCGTAGCTTATGTTCGCTGCAATGGGTGGCAGAGGAATACGGATTAAATCCGTCACCTATCTAGGAATGAACGAAACGAGGTAAAGTGTGAAGAAACTAAGTAGTCAAATTTTCACCATTTCTGTACGTCTTTGGAGATCTAAGGTTGGACACTATCATCACAAGCCCTAGATAATGAAAACTTATTTTCTTTTAGATCAAGGTTTTTATTTGATTATTTCCAAGGATGAGATAAGAATCCAATCCATTTCGTTGAATTTTTAGTTGTCTAGTTTTCATGTCCTGCATTCTTTTCTTGTTCATGGAACATCAAAGCTCTTTTATGCTGGATTGATTCATATTGATTAGTCTCATTTCAAGACAAATGGTATTCCTTGGTAAAATTTGAATTGAATTTGAGTAATGTCACTTGCTTGTTTTTTATGTCAAATGTGCTAGGATTCTGAAATTCGTTCACTCACTAACTTTTTATTTCTAAATATCAAATTGTAATGCTTTTTCTTTAGAAACTAATATAGGAAACCCGGCTCAAGATTCCCTTTAGCCACTTTTGGAATATACATCACGATTTGGAATATACAACACACTTCTGCGTCTTTTCAGTAGTTTGCAAGATTTTTAGCCTGATATTTTCATGCGATGCTCGTCCAAAATTTACAGAAACTTATCCATATGTTGATTCTTATTCGTTCTGTTGATCCATGTCTTTGTCTACATTTCAGGTGATCTTGATGAGTGGAATCAGTGTTGAAGCTTTAGAGGAGCTCAATGCTGAGCAAAGCTCTGATGACAGGATATCCCATATTAACAATCTTCTGAAGTTTGCCATTCTCAGAAAAGATCATTCCTTTACGGCGATTGGAGGTCCTTGGAATGCCACTTTAGATGGTGGAGATCCTTCAACTGATAACACGTCCCTAGTTCAGACAGCTAAAAGGTGTGTGGGATTGTTCACTTTGTGACTTTATATTTTCTGGATGAGCAGTGAAGACATTTCCATTGGTAGACTTTAAATCTCTACATTTTCTGTACCAGATATCTAAAAGATTTGACCCAACTTGATCTGGGAAACTGTCAGCATTGGAATGAATTTATTAAGGTATTCCTTTTTGTTGCATCTTTTTGTGTTTCCAGACGTGTTTTCCTCTAAAACAGATTTTGTAGCTGGTTGTATTCCAGTTGCTCCAATTGATGGAAGCATGTGCATTCAGTTTGTTCTTAAAATTCATCATGCTTGTTCGGTTTCGGTTTTTTTCCTTGACTGATAACAAAAGGCAAATGCTATAGATTTGAGTAATGGCGGTATGATATCATCATTGTCATCCCATAAATTCTGACTATTTCATATTAGAGACGAATTTGATCTCTCCTTTTTTGTGTAGTGTTATGGTTTTATCCAACGTGCACAATTTTATGTTTCTCATAACACAATTCAAGTTTTTGTAGAATGTTATTTTACTTTCCATTTTCTGGCATAACGAAGAATGTTCTTTACATGACCGATTCATTCATTTTATTTGTACAAAGGAAGGGTGGGTGTGCTTTTGCAAACATTTCATCAGGGATTTATTAGGATCCATTCATTTCTCTGTTTTTTTTTGCTCACGTAATTGGATAATTTAGGGTATGTATTTCTGTTGGTTGAACGACTTAGATATGTTTCTATTTTGCCCTGGGTTCACTGTTTCCAGTGTTTACCTTCCATACTACACATTCTGTCTACACCATCAGGAGTCGTAATCATGAAATGTGAACTTCAAGTGCAGTTCTTCCGTCCTGAATAATTTTTTTTTTTCCTTCATAGTTCCCAGTTCTTTGTATCTGAAACTTTTGTGTTTTCACTTTCTATTTCAAAGGTCCAGGAATGTCATGTTGAGTCATTAGCCAATAAATGTTTCCTGAAATCTTCTATGATGCTAATTGGTGAAAGGTTGGAGTTGCTTGTCTGTATTTCTCAAGATAAATCAATCATTTTCTTGAGACCTCCATAGTCATATGTCCCTGAAGTGAGCAGAGACGAGCAACATTTGAAAAAAATAGTCGTAATAGTCCTCCCTAAGGGACGGCATGACCTCCATAGGTGTTACTGTCCACCACATTGAGGAATGCCTCTAGTTGTAAGGATCCCCTTGGGGCCTGTGGTCTCCTGCTTGAGCCTTAAGTGTGTAACCCTGTCTCATTTGGTTCCAATATGATTGGCTGTTAAGTCCATTCACATCCTACTGTTCTTAAAAAACTATTGGTGCCTCCCTTAGTAATTGGGATTGAGCATCTGTGATGCCATACCTTTAACTTCATATTTGCCTGGCTGAATCATCACGATTATCTTACACGTGGGAGCGTCAGACATCTTTTACCTTGCATTGTTGCCTAGGTGAATGAGGTCTTTGGCTCAATAGCACATTATTTTTGAGTTTAGGAAAGGCTCTGTTGCGTATGTTCCGTTTCGTGTATCATTGGCCTACTTGTTGTTTCATATGCTCCCATTGATTTTTTTCCCCTGTTTTTTGTATTATGGTCCATTTTTTGTGCATTTTAACAACCAACATGTGGAGTTCGCTCATGTTATCGCTTTGAAATAATGGTGTGAAATGGCTTCCGGCAGATACACTATGACAGAATTGGGAAGGATGGGCTACTTAGCCACAAAGAAATCACCGTCCTATATTTGCCTGATCTATCAAATTGCCTGCCTTCGATAGATCAATGGAGAAGTCAGTGGCTTGCTCACAAAATGATGGTCGCTGAGAAGGAACAATTCGCTGAAAAGCAGAAGGTTTTTTTTAGCTTCAGTTTTCTGTTTTCGAGTCTTTATCTATGGATCCCATTGAAGTCAAACTCATTTTTCTTTCATTGTTTCAGAAGTTGAGTGAAAAGGATTTATCACCAGGTATGTAGATTTATTAATTGTGTCCAAGTGTTACCAGTGGAAGTTTATTTCTTTAGTTTGTCTGTTGCTGAGAGAGTGAATGTTACGAAAATCTTGTAGGTGATCGGAAGCATGAGATATCTGAGGTCGCTGTTGATGTTGGGAATGATATCAAAGTCAAGGTTGAGGATGGTCCGGGCAAGCATGACCTGGAAAGTCCTGACTGTGCAACTGCATCTGATGTTGAGAAAGCCGTGGACATGGATACAGGAGGGATGTCGACTGCAGATGATAGACAATCTATCAAGGAGGGTGAGGTCGAAAGTATTAAGGAAACTACTAGTGACATGGAAAATATAGAAGATGGAGCTTCTGCTCCAGCAATAGTTGATACTCGTAAGAATGCTGATAAGATGGGGGAAACTGATGATGAGAACAAACAAGGTCATCTGGAAGGTGCTGTCAAGCGTGATGAGACTTCTCTAAGTGTGACTAATGTCAGAACGTTTGTCCGGAAGAAGGTCACTAAAAAGATTCCTGAGAAGACTCCTGAGAAAGAAGATCAGATTTTGGAAACTTTCAACGTACAGACTGAGAAAATGGCTGAGATGGAACCAGAAGTTTTGAAAGCAGATGTCAAGGATGAACAGGAGGGAGCTTCTGGAAAGGAGGCAGTACCCAAGACGGCTGGAAAGAAAAAAGTTATTAGGAAAGTGATAAAGAAAAAGATCATTAAGCTGGATGAGAAACGTGAAATTGCTGGTAGCAAGCAAGATGGGAAAGCAGATCCTGGTGGAGCAATTGAAACTCACGATATAAAGATAGAAGTGGAGGCTACTGTTGATTCTGGTATAAATAAATCAGGAGATAGGGGTGGTAATGAGTGTAAAGAACTGGGTATTGTTAAGCAAGATGATTGTGGTGCGACAGATGGAAAGGAGAACAAGGAAGATAAAGAAGACGAGGAGAAGACAATCCCAGATGATCAGGGTACTGTCGAGACTCATGTTGCAAAACAAGAGGACTTGAAGAAACATGGTGAAAATGACAGGAGGGAGAAGGATAAGGACGAGAAAAAACCTGATTCTAAACAAAAAACTGGTAAGGAGTCCAATGAAAAGAAGCCGGAGGTGGCTCCTGGAAACCCAGGTTTGTTTGTCCGGACAAAACAGACGACGGAGTCAAAAGTACGTTTTTATCGTACCATGATAATTTCTCTTACAAGTTTTTCTCATGATATTGTAATATGCGTCATGTTTCCAGACATCAATGAGAGAGAATGTTGCTGCGCTTATTTTTTTGTGCACAGATACGCTCAATTTCACTTTCACTTGACGGTCTCTTGGATTATAATGAGAAAGACACTGAAGAGTCAACAGTTGAGGTTTGTCTTTCCTTGGCATAATCCTATTGCTTTCTGTTCCAAGAACTTCATTTTAAGACTCTGACTAGGTAGCTGTGTGGCTTATTGTTGTGTGAAGTTTCTTTTTTGTGGTTCCTGTTTAACAAGGGATCTAATTAGCGTTGTAATTATAAAATTTAATGTGGAAAATTATTTCATTTATACCTTTTTTATCAAAAAAATATCTCCATTTTAAAATTTGAGCTGTATTTTTTTTACCTCAGTCGATAATTCCCCCTTGGTTATTCGCCGGATTGGTTGGTGTGATTTCCAGCTCTGGTTGAGCCTGTTCTTGTATAAATTATCCCGTTTCTTTATTCGTTGTTCTCACTCAATACCCCGACTGGTATTGAGTGAGAAGTATCCACTGTCTTTAGGCTTTTGAGCCAATTATCCACTACATATCATGCATCTAGTCTGACGTAAAACGTACCAACCTGACCTTTGATAGAAAGTAAGCAATGACACGGCTTCTCACGACCTGAAGGCCAGATACCAAAGTCAGATATACAAAGACTTTTTTCTCCTGTTTTATCACTTTCCTGCATTGGAGCTGCATAATTTTTCTTATTTTATGCATTGTAACTTATTTAGGCCTCTTTTTTTTTACCTGTGACATTACGTAAAAACGTTTAACAATTTAATTACAAAAAAAAGAGAAATTTACCATTTTCTGTTCCCCCAGTTCTTTTGTTTGCAACGGTGGACTGCTGTAACTAAATCAGTCCTCCAGACATGGGTGTAGGATAGTTGGATGTGCAGTTGGTAAGACGATGAGAAAACGTTCCTGACAGCAATGGTGGATCACTGGGAACATAATTATAGGCCCAGAATTGATATCTATTTTTCTGGCGGCCTCATCAATTGGCCAGTGTGTCTCTATATGATATAGTGCCATCTGGCTCGATCATTTGTTGTACCAGTAGGACTCTTGTCGTTGATCTTGGTTGTGCCACTCCTGCAGCAGTATGAACCTTGACGCATTTTCTGGAAGCTGGTGCTGAAAATTGACCAAGTGAAAATATATCATCAATATTGATGGTCGTATTATTCCCCTTCTTAATATCCTTCTCTTCATATCTTGTCAAACATCATATTGCCTCTGGAACACAGTTTTCAAATTGTAAACATGTCTGAAAACCCAATGAAGATTTGAAGGATAAATATACGCAATAAGTGACGCTATGAATATGCAGAGAATCCGTTTGACTTTGCGCTTTACCATTCTCCAGATTCTGGTTTGTTTTCTTATCTAATTTCCGAACCATTTTTGTAGCTCTCCTTGTTTGCAGAGTCCCTAAATGAAATGATCCAGTTTGAGATGGGAAGCCGACTTTTGTCATTTCTTCAGGTAAATTCCATGGAAGCCTCTGCTTCGCCTCCCCTCCTAAATGTATTGACTTCTTGGTCTGTTCTCAATTCACTTGATACAACTTTCCTCCTCCAGAAGCTGCGCTCAAATTGTTTGGCTAAACGAAACAAGCAAAAAAGAGAACGGGAGGAAACCGCTGAGAAGAATGAGAAAGAATCATCTGCACACAAGCGTCTGAAATCGGTTGACGACAATAAAGTAGAGAATGAATGGGCTCAATCTATGGCACAGAGCAGCTCTACACTTGATAATGCTTCACAGATTGCCAAAGACGAGAATTCAGCCCATGGGTTGGATGAATCTACAGCAGAGAATAAAGAAGAGCAGGTGATGGAGGTCCAAGAAGATCTTAAAGAAGCAGAGGAAATGGATGAGACGCCGCCTGAGAACGTTGCAGCAAAGCAGGCAAGATTTATTTCGTTTCTTCTTCCAGGATCCGAATTTGCTTGTCTCCTGTTTCTTGCTATAATTCCCGGTCAGCTTCCTGCTGAGTGATTACGTTTTTCAATTGGTTGGATCTGTATAAAGCATTCACTTTTTATATTGCACAAGGGGATGGTGTATCCATGGAAGAAAGAAAGAGAATGAGAATGAACGGCCAAGGATTACGTTAATTTTTTTTTTCACCCGTTTTTCTCTTTGCCTGAGCTGCTTCTCCGATGCAGGAAGAAATCCCAGGTGAGAAGGTGGAGCCAGAGGAGAAGGCTGACGGGCTTCCCGAACAAGAAGTGAAGGGGGAGGACGGAAAGTCCACAGAGGAGGGGACTGCTAGACATGATACAGAGAGAGGCACTGCTAGAGAGGACGACCCTGGTAAGAAAGAGCATGCGCCAGAGGTTGTCAATGGAGACTTGCTGCAGGTATCTTATCCTTGTCAATTTTTCTGCTGTTGGGCTTTTTTTTTTTTTCTCTTCAGTCAAAATTCGATTCAGTCCTCTCTGCGATGAACCCCGATGCTAAAATATTTCCATCAAAATCGATCAGGCATTCAGGTACTTCGATCGAAATAGAGTGGGCTACATCAAGGTACGTATGTCCGGGGAAAACCCACACCAGAGAGGATCACTGAACCATCTGAGAACGCCCCCACGTTTCCCCTGCAGGTCGAGGATCTAAGGCTAATCATCCACAACTTGGGACTGTTTCTCTCACAGAAGGAGGTGAAGGTATGGTTCTCTCTTCTTTCGCCCATCTTAACGTCAGACTCTCATATTGGCCTCCCTGATGCAATCGGGAACGCCGCTGTCTCGCAGGAGCTGGTGCAGAGTGCTCTCCTGGAGAGCAGCTCTTCGAGGGACAACCGGGTCATGTATCATAAGCTGGTTAGGATGGGTGGTCTTCTGTCCTAGTCTACCCTAGAACATCATGGCGTTCTTTCTACAGCCGACGTGAGAAGCTTGCACTGCCCTGTGGTGGGATCCCTGAGACTCATCCATATTGACCCTCGGCTGAGGGCCCTGGAGATGGATGCTCTCTCTCTCTCTCTCTCTTGTTCCTCGGTTCCCTCTGTAGGTACTACTACCGTCTTGACTATTCATTAAATGGACGCTGGTTGACTTTCCAATTGCTTTTAGTAGTAACTTGCCACCCAATTCGAGCGAGGTTGCCCATTTTGTATTTGATAAAACTACATGAAAATGCCTGTTCTTGATCCCTTTTTCGAAGAAGATGAAGGTTTCGAATACTGACCATCGTTCCATATGAACAAACCAGGCGAGCAGTCAATCCGCTTCTCTTACCTTTTCAGCACGTACATTCCATCTCGCATTTCTAACTTTTCTTCTGCAATAAGACCTTCCAGAAAGCTTTGCAGCTGCTGTACTGACTTGTCGTACGTCGGTTCGGCTATGCAAAACATCTGCGACACAAGCTTGGGATCACTTCACTCACCACATCCCCTCGCCAAGAACTCGGACACACAAGAAGGGTAGGGACTCTCGTCTCAACACTTACCTTCAGAGTGTTATGAATTCTGTCCAGTGCCATGCTGCCAAAGTTGGTCAGCATCCCCACAATGAATTTCTGCGCTCACAAGGTATATATTCTACGTTAGGATATTGCTTTGCCGGCAGTAATCAACGTTATTGATGATCATATGGAACAATGGAAATGCACCCAATATATATATATATATATATATATTCTACATGGAGATTTCAAGTTATCCCAAGCATAAACTAAGGATAGTTTATCTGATGCCAACTCATCTTCTGTCCTGATGTCTCTCCCATGTCTTTAGGATGCGGACGGCAAAAATGATGATTTCTTGTTCCCTTCTGTATCTCAAGATATTTGGTAATCTACCCATCCTGTCTTGAAGGTCATCCCTTCCAATGTACTCTATGTTAAGCAGCCATAGCAGACCATGGGGGAGAGAGTTAAGATTCTCACTTGAGAGGTATTCTACACGTTTACTCTCTTTGGATCTATGAAAATCAGAGCAATCCCAGTATCACTGGAGCTACCCATTCTGAAAAGTGAAGCCTGAGCACATGCTGAAGCTCAGTTCATTCAAGTGGCAGGGTTTTGTACAACCCTCGTGGAACCTCAGATGCTCAATCGATGATGCCAGTGAGGGAGACAGAACTGTGGACCATACTTTGAGAGACTGGGAGTTCTTATGCAAGGCGCATAAAATGGGGTTTCATCCCTAGATGATCTTAAAGGTGCCTAGTGAGAGGGTGGGCTTGCAAGGGGATTTAGATGCTTCGTATAATTTAAAGGGGAGTTTACCATATCCCGTAGGTGATCTATTTACGCGTGAAAAAAAGAGAACAAAAGCTTGCAACAGGAAGGAGTGTGGTGCATACCTCGTAGATGGTCATTTCTTTTCGGAGCTGTTCCTCGACAGAAGCCAGGGATCCTTCTCCTTCCTCATCGTTTGCTGAAAGATCCTCCAAGGTTCCCTTTGCGAGGCCATTTCTATTCGTTTCAGACATCTCATCAACAACCGTATATATGTGGTCATCACTGTCGGATCCGGGAGACTCAACAAGAATTCCCTGAGCACAGACAAAGTAAAGGAGTAAAAACATTAAACACCAAAGAAATGCCCACAAAATATTTCTTGCGCCTAAAAAATTAGCACACAATGATCAGATTATGATGTAACAAGAACTTTCAATAATCAATTGTGTGAAGAATACAGTTTCTCGCCGTCTCTCTCTCCACACTATGATGTTGGATGGTGCACCATGATCGCCAAGTATCCCCTGTTATTCTTTGACAGCTATATGTCTCACTCTAAGTCCCATGCCCAAGTTATTCTAAGAAATGTTTATATTTTGATATCCAGATCAAAAGTTGTCCAACATTACAATCCATTCTAAGAACCTGCTTGTCTTTACTTTTCCTCTGCCCGAAGTTATCCTCCATATGTAATGCTATCGTTAATTATATGTTGTAAAATCAAAGTAAAACTTGTACACATTTTTCGTTTTCGGCCAAGAGATCGCACAGAAACCATCGGCTGCATTTGCTGCTGTATCGAAAAAGTATATCTATCTACGGATACCCAAGACACATTAAACAGAAATTGCAACACGTAGGTAATTCTTTCTTAAATATGAAGCAAGCAAGCACTCACGACTTGCCTTGCTAACCCAGAAGCTTATTCTTCTGTTGAGTATATCCACAGGGGTTCCGACAGCAGCCGCAAGGTTCTTGGAAGTCCAGCTGCAAAAACAAGATGGAAATATAGAGCTGCAGAAAAAATATGAGCACATAGAAGCAACTCCAGAAGTAAACCTTGCTTGCTCTTGGAATTTCAAGATGATTGTTGCCTGGACCGGGGATACAGTGAACTGCAAAGCTCTGTCTTCAAATTGCAGTTCCAACTGAAACAAGGGAACGGTGATGCCTATTATATGACGCAGAAATCATCCACATTCTAAACACCAAGATAATCTATGGTTCACGAGTCATTATGGTCATCCGGAACACCAAGATGAATGAAGGCTGCATGTTCAAGATGGGGGGCATTCGAAGTCTAACCTTGACCACTCCAAGATTTTTTCTCCAGAGTAACTTTCGAGGGGCTTTAACTTCATGAAACCTTCTAGCATAGTCGGATAGCAATTCCTCCACGGCAACTGGTACATTGATGGACTCAGCCTGTGATTTGTATGTCTCAGTCAAATAAACGGTAGCCAAACATTCAGAAATTAAACTGGACAGAAGGTGGCATGAAGATAGGAAATAGACACGTCCTTTGGTTCCTCCAATCTTCTCTACGTCCAAACATTCTTACACCAGCTGGTGTATCCTGGAGTACTATGTGTGTCCTGTTTGTTACCTGGATCGGAGGCCAAAAGTTCGAAGAGATAATTGTCGCATCAAAGACCTCCAGTGACATGTCACCTTCGTCTTGCTTGGCATCTAAACATAAATCAAAAGAGTGAAAAATCTGGCACATGTTTGACATATATTTAATTTAGCAGGAAGCCCTCGAATGGATCAGTTCCACTGTACCTATCTGAGTTGCCTTTGCCGCTGATACTTTGATATTGCTATTGGTCCTCTTGGAGTCTATTAAATCATTAAGCATAATTTCGCATCTCTGCATGCTGCTTTCTCCAAAATGAATCTAAAAACCGGATAAAAAAGATTGACTTAAAGGAGAGCTTTTCGGATGGTAATATATCAATGCTATATCAGTGTGTAAGCTGTTGTCCTACAACCCATGAGAGCTAATGAAGTTAAAGAATTCGCCAGAATGGAGAAAATAAATAGCATACCTTTAGGAGTTCCAAAGTGCGTATCTCAGAGTCAATGTCATAGTCAGACTTATTCAAAAGCTTATCTGCCAGCATGATTCGGTGTTCATTCACCAGCTGATCCTTTGAACCAATAATACTGACCATCATTCCTAGTATATCAATCTTCCGCCGATTCCTGCTGCCTCTTGCTGGATCTGCTTCCACTGGATCAGGTTCCCAACTGAAAGGAAGCAAACACCAGATAACAAGGGGTCTTCTCATACAAGCACATCACATCATACAAAGTCCACTTCACTAGAAGGGTAACACACGAAATTCAGCAAACAAGTAGATTAATCACGATCAATATCACAAGATCTATACCGCATTGCATTGATCCACGCCTGTTTATCATCCGTGACAAGGTCGTCATCATAATCAGCACTCTCTTGATTTTCAGCATTTCTGTTTAGTTCTTCAAGAAGACTGTCGCCTGTGTTCCCTGCTCCTGTGGCACTTCCCCCACTCCCATCAGTAAGCATGGTCACAATGCATTTTATTGTATCCTTCCTCCTCCTTAGGTATTCCCTTATGGGTTCACCAACTGCTTCAAGGAAAACACCAGTAGGATCTATTATCCGTAGTGCCTTGATGGTCGAAACATACTGGTGCAAAATGTCATTTGTTGAGGCACCAGCTGTAAGCAGACGAAATCTCAAGGAAGAAATAAATGAGTCAACAAGCTTGGAATGCTGCCCAGTGCAATCTAGACACTGTTTCAAATCTTCAATAGCCGGAGAGCTGGTTCAAGGCCATTTACAAAGTAAGCTAATAATATTTGCGACAGCAATAAACAAATCAAAGCAGCATGTATGACATTGATATACATCTTCCGACGTTGCATCACTCCACAATATATTGCACATATATGACGGAACCACGAGAGAGATAGGATGTACTTGAACTAAACAGGGTAAATATATTGCATCCATCACCTACCTGGACATGTCAAAATGGTAACAGATAATTTATTCTACATGATCATCAAAGGCAAGTCAGATGCGTAAGAAGTCAACAAAAGGTTAGCATAAGAAGGAAGCTGAAAGGTTTATAATTTGTATGTACGTGCCTCATACTGCAAACTCATGAGCGCATTGAAATAAGATAATAACCCAATACATACGACTCAAAAGTTGTAGGGAAAGACATGAAGGAAAAGAGAAAACCTGTCAGGGTAGTCCACGATAATCTCAAAAAGCTTTGCTATTCTCAGGTCTTGCAAGCTCTCATAAGCAAAATATTCGAGCCTCAACTGCCATCTGACAAGCTCTTCAGAAGGCATGTCGATTCCAGGGTAACATGTAGGGAGAGAAGCCAGAGGAGATTTCAAACCAGAATTTGAGTCCTCATGACCAGCTGAGTCTCCCAGGTAACCTAAAAGAGCATTTAAAAATTGAAGCGGAACAGCCTGAACACCAATGAAGCAAAAGATCAATAATGAAATAAGATACGATCAAAAACCAGAAAGGACATGCCAGACGTAGATCAATGCAATTAATATCTAGTGAAGGCAAATAAGAATACTTTCATGTTTAAATGCCCAACACACATGCAGTAGATGTAGTGCATGAAATGTTTTAATTTAAACAAAACCTTTCAAGAGTTTTCAGTGAATCTTTCAATCTGGAAAAAGTCTGGACTGAGAAAAGATGGGATTAGAGAATTCTCTCATGAACGTATCCTAAAACGTATAAGGTAACTGCACTCAAAATGGTACGAAGAGTGCAAATCCAGACTTGCACTATTATATGAGAAAAATTCATACTGTTATATGAGAAATCGAGAACATGGAGAGAGGTCTAGCTAATGAAGAGAAGAGTTGTGCTTATAATGAAGACATAGAGTGGATTTGATAATGAGATGAAGGCAGGGGTTTCTACCTTAAGCCTTTCCTTCCCTAACCAAAAAAAATACCAGGCATTGTGTAGGGAAAAATAAACCATGAGACAAAAGTGTCAGAGGGACAACACAGAAGAATACATAAAAATATCATGACAAATGAACTTCCCAGACTTTTTTTTTCTTTTCACAACAACAAATTGCTAAATCATTGAAATGGGTCTAAGGTCTTTGAAAATTGAAGAGATCCAAGATGCATATGCTACCATGACAAATGAACTCCCCAGATTTTTTTTTCTTTTCTTTTCACAACAACAAATTGCTAAATCATTGAAAAGGATCTAAGGTCTTTAAAAATGAAAGAGATCCAAGATGCTTACGCCTGGTGTTGCACACCTAGGCATAAACAGCTAGAACTTAGTAAGGTGCACAGCCTACGTCTGCATAACACAATAACAGATGCATGGAATACTTCAGCTAATTACTCGCATGGGTTTTCAATCCTAAATCACAAGTAACTCGAAATCAAAAAGGTTCTCAATGAAGAGAACTTTAGAAATCAGCAAGATTCTAAGTGAAGTAAAATTCAATTACATATGAAATTTAATTAGGAAACAATAGAGGAGCATCGACCATAATGTGAATGCAAAGAGAAACAAACCTGAATCCATTCTTTAATGGACTCTAGAACAGGACTTCGGTAGTCATCTCCAGCCAGATATTGAACTTTAATCTGCAATCAAAACAAGAGCTACAATGTAGAGAACGAAAATGCATTAACCACATGATGAAGACTACGTGAACCCTAAATGGTAATAACGTGCATACTTTCAAAAGGGAAAAGATAGCTGAAGCATAGGCATCTTCGGTTACTGATGTAAATCCAAGACTTCTAAGATCACGAACAAGTTTGCCAATGTTTTTAATCAGTTCATTGTTCTTTAAGGTGACTGATTGGTCATACACTTCCTCAATCTCCATTGCACCAGCTCGAGAGGCCATGTCACTTTTGCACGTAAAACCCACACCAGAATCGACGGAGGCTTCATATCCATCTTCACATTCTCCAGTGATCATGCTGCTTAATTCTTCCAATATTTTTCTAAAATACAGTCGCAGTATCCCTGGAGAGAAAGCAATATATAACCAATAAGAACATATTTTTATTCCATGAACTCCATAGAATCTCCATCAAATAACGAAATGCAATAAAAGCACAGATGTCTTCCACAAGAAGATAGCGTGTATAGGGTCTGTAAATGTACTATGCGGACACAAAAAAATGCTGGGGTAAACCCAACAAAACCTAGTATCAATGCACCACAATTAAATTAGCCAGATATTAAATGAGTGCTCTGGACAGGGGTCATAGAGCTATTATTCATGTTCTGTGCCAAGAAAGAGGAAAACTCTTATAGGAAGTTAATAAAATAAGCAAAAATCAAAATTGAACAAACATTAAACATGATACCTGATTTATTTTGCCAGTCTAGCTATGACGTTTTTACAATAAATCAGAGTTATTGAATATAGTAAAAATCAAGAGTTGAGAAACAAATGTTCTATTTTAGAACTTATCATCTCTCCTTATACACAGTCAGAAACGTGAATAATAGAAAAACCATACAGAACATCTTGATTTTTTGCACGATTGGAATGTAATGCTTCAATAGACAGTTGGATCAGACTACAACTGACCGGATTCTTGCCATAGCAGCTGATGGGTTAAATTCAAGGTAAACTGTCTAAAGGCAAACTTACTCAGAACTTTCACATAATTTTCTGAGCATTATAAATTACCCTTTTTCTAACCAATGCAGAGGAGATAACCCTTATTAGCGAAAACTTTCATGAAAGAAAACATATGACTAAATCAAAGAGGCCTTTTACATAGTGTCATTTTAGATTGTGTAAAGAATGAAATCTACTGTACGAGAAAGACATCCAAAATCGACAGGAAGCAGCAGAATAATAAAAGAGAAGGAAACCATAAGAACCACACACCAAGAAATGGCTGAGGAAGTGTCGAATGAAGTACTGAAGATACCATCAATTGGTGCCTGGGAAGAAGAGTGGATATATAGTCCTCCAATTCTGATGCAACATCACCTTCTGATAGTAAAGAATTAAGCAGAATTGACAATAATTTCTCCTGATAAACTTTTTCCATGCATATCTCCTCCAGCGATGCAGTTAACATCTCCTCAGATCCTTCCTGAGACATCAGTGATATGACATTCTTTTACTGCCCACGAGTTTAAAACATCAAACAATAGAAACTTTGCCGAGAGTTTACATAACATGAAAATAAAATAAAATTGCAATCTACGTTTGAAAGTTGTCAACTGACACACTTGGATAAATTTAAACTAGAGGAGGCAAACACTTCCAGATGAATCATGGCAATGCCGAATATCAGGAAAGATGGAAAAAAAGAGCAGAACAGTACTCTTCATCAGGAACGTACGAAGGAAAGCTAAGGCTATAACTCAAATATTGGTGATAAAATCTGTACCCAGAAAAAAGAGATTGCAGAGGTCCTTCATCTTCACAAGCACTAAAGCCTATTCTTTTAACATCACTGGACCCATATGAGATAAACTGCAATTGCAGAATAAATCTTCTCCTGCTTAGAGAAATAAACAAACAATGCGTCCCACCAAAAGACAGCTAAAACTACAGTCTGTTCTCCAAGAGATGCAAAGTATTTCTGAGGCAGCAAGTGCTCCCAGTTGAGGATCTCGAGGAGCAGATCAGAAGTAATTACAAGGGTGTCCCAAAGAGGATATGACCGCCTTACGGGGAATACCTTCTATAATTCTCAAGATCATTATAGCATGCTTCACAATATAAATACACACATATCCAGAGGGACGCATGTGACTCTGGGTGATGGAATTAGAATTCCATGACAGAGGCATAGTTAAGGAGGCTGTACGATGAAAGCAGTAGATTCCACACGCTGAATGAACTCACCGTTGATGCGGCCGTTTTATCAGAGGATGGATTGAAACTCTTCCAAAACTTTGAAACTGCGTTCTTCCGGAACGACTCCTACGACAAAGGAAACATAGTCATACCGTTTCAAACATAAGTATAAAGCTCCAATTTGGACATAAAGAAAACGAGACGGAACTTCGCTGGGGCAATCGAACAAACAAACTACGCGCGTTTCTTCTGCGCATTCTTCCCGTCAGATGCCACAGTTAATGGAGGTAACCATATGGATACGGAAGTCACAACCTCTTTTCCTTTGCAGTATACACCTTGGAACACCAAGCGCGATGGGGGGAGAGAGAGAGAGAGAGAGAGAGAGAGAGAGAGAGAGAGAACCTCGAGGGCTTGGAGGAAGTGGTCTCCCACGAGTCGGGTGAGGCCATAGTGGCTGAGGGCGCGGACGGAGGCGGCGTATTCGTCGGAGTCGGCGGCGACAGAAAGATCCCCTGAGAGGAAGGAGTCGGTTCCGGTGCAGAAGCATTCCCAGCTCTCGATGATCTGTTGAAGGTTGCCCTCTGTCAGGGCGTCCAACGCCTCAAGGTCCGCGTCCATTCCCCTATAAGAACGCCGGCACTGCGAACGAGAAAGCAGACTCCGCTGAGATTGAGAGAGCCCGCTAGATGGGTATACACAGGAGAGTGGGCCGGAGGGAGGAAAGCGCGGGCACTAGAACGGGCGCGCGCGATTTTCCGCACGTGCCACTACCCGTGCCAAATGTAAGCCACCATCGCTGAGTGGAGGATCTAAACGTACGAACAGTCCAAGGTGGGGTCCGCCTTGGTCCCACGCTCCCACCCAGCGAGCGCGCTCCAAGATTGTCGGAGCGACGGATCCACTGAACCCCCATCCTTTCTGCTGCGGTCTTCCCTTCCCCTACCCGCCTGGTGATCTCGGAAGGGTTTCCGACGATCCTTGACGAGGAAGAGCGAAGGTGTCCCCAGTCTCGGCGCCATTCAAACCCTACGCGGATTCCGATTCCCGCTTCGAATTGTTTTCATTCTCTCTCTTCCATATGGGAAGAAGAATGAAAAGTCCCACTTTTATTCGGTTCCTATGTTTGGACAGATTTTATTTGGAAGTCTGAACGTCTCTAGATTTCGAGCATTAGGGAAGCATTCGTCTAGTAAAGGGTGGGGGAGGGGGAGGAGGGTTGGGTCTTACACCAGCGGAAGGAAGAAATCATTAGGACAGAATGTCCCCTAGATGATAAATGATAGAAAGAAGTCTAATATGTAGTAATGGGCAATACGAGATTAATGTGGTCTAAAGAGTATAAGAAAACCTCGTCGACCACTAAATAAAGAAAATGAATAATATTTAATGTCAAGAGAAGAACAAGATATAGAAGTATATGGAGTTAATGAAGCATTGATACTAGCCACTAAATAGGAGTGGAGGAGAAGTTAGAATCCCATTTTCAGCCGCCTTAGCAAAAAGGTTTTTTGTGCCCTTAATTTGTCTCTTTCTCTCTCTCTCTCTCTCTCTCTCTCTCTCTCTCTCTCTCTCTCTCTCTCTCTCAGCCCTCTTTTAATATCTGTATTATAAGGGGGTTGGACTGATTTTGTACTTAAAACTAATCCTAAACAATGACATAAAGGTGAGATGAAGTTAGGATGGACCTCTCCTAACAAATAAGGGTTGACCGAGTCACCCTTACAAATCTCTACTTTGACTTAGTTAGCATGAACTTCTTCAAAACTTCATACTAAAAACTCCATAAACTCATGATTACAATAGAAAAATAAAGTCACATATCTTCTCCAAATAAGAGGTTAATTTCAAGTGTTGTAAACTCTAATCTAATTCAAACAATGTTGGAGCCATGAAGATAGAAGAAGTTTCATTAATATGTCAACTAAATTATCTTTAGTACTAATCTTTTGAAAATTATATCATGGATGAAATGATACCTATCATCAATAGGCTTTGTCCTTTCATGATATATCTGATCTTTTGCTAAGTGAATAGTACTTTGATTATCACAATGGACAATGATCAAATCTTGACATAATTTAAATTCATAGAACAAACTTCTTAATCATATAGCTTCTTTTAACACCTTTGTAAGTGTCATAAAGTCCACTTCTATAGTGGATAATATAAAAATAGACTATAAGAAAGTTTTTCAACTAACATCGCATCTACTAACTAAAAATATATAATTAGTTAGTGACCTTTTCTTATCAAGATTTCTTACAAAATCTGAATTAGTGAATCCAATCAAAGTATCACTAGTTCTCCAAAATTGTAAGCATGTATTAACAATACTCTAGAAGTACATAAAGACACACTTAACTACATGTTGATGTGCTTTACTTAGATTAGTGATGGAGGACCAAAGAAAAATATCAATACCAAATATCACTGATTTTAAAATAATTAGGATTATAATTACTTGAGAAGAACCACACTTTCAAGGATTTATATAAAGTTTCAATCAGGGTGTTAGGATCACCAATAAAAAGAACAAAGAGGCCTAGCCTATGGTTCACTCAATTCTTGTAAGGAGCAAGGATTTAAAAATAATGATCACTTCACAAAGAGAAATGAAATCAACCTATCAACATACCTTGTCAAAGGAGATTCTAGAGTGATTTTCTTAATTCTAGTGGCTTGAGATCCATGAGCCCTGCTGAGGAATTTCTAATGAGTGATGATTCAAGAAAATGGGAGGTCTAGGTTGGGTAGCTGAGGTCCACAAAGTATTTGGATAATTAAAAAATATAAGAGAGGAAAAAAAAGGTTTAAGTGAGAAATAGAAAGAATAAGAGAATAAAATAATAATGAGAAGGGCGGAATGAGAGGGCGTCGGCGGGAGAGAGAGAGAGAGAGAGAAAGGAATGAGGGGGTACATGGCAACGGCGGGTGAGAAGGAGAGAGAGAAGATGAAGGGGTACGTGGCGACGGCGGGAGAGGAAGAGGGAGAGAGAAAATGAGGGGTACGTGGCGACGGCGGGAGAGAGAAGAAAGAGGGTTTCAGCGGGAGAGAGAGAGAGAGAGAGAGAGAGAGAGAGAAGGATAGGGAAACGTGGCGACGGCGGGAGAGAGAAGAACGAGGGTTTCGGCGGGAGAGAGAGATGAAGTGGCAGTGACGGGGTGGACGGCAAGGAGCTGGAGTGGCGGCGACGGGTGGACGGCGAGGAGGGGGGACGACGACAATGGGGCAGACGGCGAGGAGGCGGGACGACGGTAATGGGGCGGTCGGCGAAGGAGGACGACAGCAATGGGGTGGACGGCGAGGAGGCGGGACGACGGTAATGGGGCGGTCGGCGAAGGAGGACGACAGCAATGGGGTGGACGGCGAGGAGGCGGGACGACGGCAATGGGGCAGACAGCGAGGAGGCGGGACGATGGCGACAGGGTGGCTAGCATGAAGAGGAGTGGCGGTGATGGGGCGGATGACAAGAGACGAGACAATGACGATGGGGTGGCTGGCGTTAAAGGGAGTGGCGGCGACGGGGTGGCGAGGACGACGTGAAGAGGAAGAGAAGGAGGTCCCCCTAATCCAAGAGGGCGAGAAGAAGAGGGGAAGCCCCTAATCCAAGAGGTGATGGCAAGAAATGAGGAACCCCCAGTCCAAGGGGCGAGATGGGGAAGAAGACGACCTTCTAATCTAAGAAGATAAGCTAAACCTTGATTAATTCTATAATTCACCGTCTCAAACACAACAGAGTCTTAGCATTTATAGAGGGGAAAGGAAGAGCGGTGGTTTTTCACGGAATGGAGAGAGAACGAGAGAGAAGGGGTGACAGAGACACCATTTCCCAAGAGATGTCATATGGCGCGTCTTGGTTGAAACGACCCCTCTTTTTAAAGAGAGGAGGGACGTGAGGATGACATGGCATTCTCTCCCCATTCTTCTTATTCTTCTTGTTGGGCCACCTTTTGTGGATGGATCCTCTTGCTTGCTGGTAGGGAACCATTGGTCCTGAATTTAATATTCCATGTTGGATTTAATAGAGGATGATGATGCCAATTGACTTGGAGATGAACTTGTCTAGGTGGAAGAACCTTAATTCTGGCACTTCTTCTTGGAAGGGTTGACCTCAAAGGTTGAGCCTCTGATTAACTATCCTCTACTAACTTGAGTTGACTTTTATGAGTGGAAGATTCTTCATTAGATCTTGTGATCCCATCAATTAGCCATATAATGACTAGTGATATATCAAGAGATGTGTAAATTAGGTCATACAATTGACAATTTTATAAATCATTTGACAATTTTAATGAAGAAATTATTTGACAATTTTATGAAATAAATATAATTATCAAATTTATTCCGAAAGAATTCATATTGTGTTACAAATGCATTAAATCTCTTATATTACTGCCAAAGAGATTGCTCAAGGCCATATAGAAATTTCTTTAGTAAACAAAAATGATTATCTTTTCCTTCAATAAGAAAACCTTATAGTTTCTACATAAAAAATTGTTCTTCAAGATTACTATACAGAAAGGCTGTTTTGACATCTAGCTATTCTAACTCTAAATTATATGATACAACTAGGGGTATTAGGATGCATATTGAGCTATGTTTAATAACAAGTGAAAAAGTATCATTATAATTAATACCTTCTACTTGACTATAATCCTTTGTAAGTAATTGTGTCTTGTATCTAGTATCATCAACATGTGGAGTGCCTCCTTTTTTATTGAAGACCTATTTATAACTAATGACTTTCTATCTTTTGGGAGCCTTAATCAACTCTCAAGTCTGATTTTTATGGAGAGATTCAATTTCTTCCTCCATAATAATTAGTCACTTGTCCACATCCCCACATGATACAACATCCAAAATTTGGAAGGCTTGTTAGAGTCTAATATCTCTTCTATAATGGTTAATGCATAAGCGACCATATTGGCATAGTCATACCTCAATAGTTGTCTAATATCTTTCCTTGATCGATCTTGGGTAAGAGAGTAAGTCTAAGTTTATGGAGAGGTCTCCACAGGATGTGTGGTAGGCATTGTAGTTTGCTTTTCTAAGAATACATCATGTGAATCTGAAATTTCTAACTCCACCTATTTTGAAGCATTGCCTTTAAGATATATATTTTGGTTTAAATATCTTTTGTCTAGGATGTAAAAATACAGCCTAGTGAAAGGTAACATTCATGTCAATTAAAAGCTTAAGATTTTCAGGATTAAGAAGCCATAGCCTATAATTAAACTAAGGAAATTAAACTTTTGTGCCTTTGGTTCTAACTTTTTGTTAAGTTGGATAACTAAAAACTCTTAAATCTAAATAATTCGGAGGATTATCTAACCAGATTTCTTTAAGAGTTTTAAAGTCTATGGTAGATGCAAGCAATCGACTTATGATAAGTGATGGCGAACGGGACCCGTCTCCATCAACTCAGGAGACACCGGCAGTCCGAGTTCAGCCCGATCGACACACGAAGACGAAGGAGCCTGACTTTCGCTACACAACCTAGCCCTTTAAGATGACGACATTCCACCTCCGCGACAACAACGAGCTCAACCTCACCCTTATCTTTCTTTGTATTTTCACGTTGACTTGTTGAGCCTTGTGTTTGTGTGTTAGCGGGCCA